AAATATTTAGGGCTTTTCCGAATGATGTAGGAAAGTGAGGCAGGTGAAAGGGACTTTGGTATGTTCCAGTTCCGCTGTATTAATAACAATAATAATATTATTATACTCTGATTTGAATTGAGGGAAGATGCTACGGTTTCGTTACAGAACCATTCGTCGGGGTTTGTAATGGTTAAATCAACTATCTCTGACGATTACAAAGTTCGACAGAATGATTTCGTAACGGGTCCACAATTGAGAGTTGAGACTACTTTTATCCAGCTGTTAATAACTGCGTACATTCTGTTTAATTGTTTTTAAATTTTATTATAAATTTTTAATTCATGAGGTTTTGTTTTGCAAATTACTGCATAGGAGATATCGCCTGTGGCTTTTTTGAAGGGATTGAGAGTGCAATAAAAGCTAGGTAGGAGCATCAGAATCCGCTACAGATAAGAATAACAACTAAAAAAAGGTTGAAGAAAGTTAAAGTATAGAGAAGAATTGTGCAGTCGTACAACACCGTACGTAGAGAAAACGGAAAGAAGGCTGACTTATAATAGTTATGGTCATGGTTCTGTAACGACACCGTAGTATTTTCCTCTTTCTTATACTTTTTTTCAATAATAATGACTAGGAGAATATTCGTGTATTATATAGGTATTTGTTACGACATTTGTATTTTAAAATTAGATAATAATAATAATAATAATAATAAAACTTGTTTTAATTTTTCAAATATATTTTTTGAAAAAAAAATATTATTTTGTATGTATAAAATGACACTCGTTACTTATACTAATTATATCTTATATAATACGAATGTTTTTAAACTTATATCATATAACTACTTTAACTTTAAAGTGAATTAATTTAGTTTAAATAATTTTATTTTTTCTAATTTGTATCAATAAGTAATTTAATTTTAATTATAAATAATTTAATTATTTATTAATTTTGTACGTATATTGTTGATGTTAAATTGAAGTTCATCAGGACGTGATTAATTTGATATATTATATATAAAAAATTGATAAGACGAAAAAAAATTAATGTCTTGTAAGTATTTTTATAATTTATGTTAAATTTTTTTAAAAAATTTAAATGAGAGGTTGGAGAAAAAATTATTCCTTGTAATTAAGTCTACGATAGGATATGTATTGAACATAATTAAAAGTTTTTTTTATCTTAAATATCCAATATATTATGGATATTTTAGGCCTAATTATTTTTGGATTGGAATAAATAAAAATTCACCCTAACAAATAACAAAACTTAAAAATTTACCACATAGAATCTCGAAACTTGCGATTATGTCACTTAAACTCTGCACATTTGGAAATATTATACAGGGGATGTGTGAGTAATTTAGTATAGTAAAATATTGTAATATGTTCTTAATCTTTGACCATCTCATTAAATAATTCTTTTCTATAAAATATATATCGTATTGTCTAATAGAACAAATTATTTAACACCAAAACTAACTTGTACATTACCTGTGCATTACACGGGTGGTTGTTAACAAATTTATATTAAAATTAAGAAAAATAAAATAGTGTTTGAGTTTTAAAGAATAAGTTAAAAATATATTTATAATGATTGTCACTTATATGACTTACTCATCTTATTTTATAATTTATTTTAAATTAACTCTGATATTGGATATCATACCGGGTCGACTCGACCTAAGAAGCAGTTTAACCTAACTTGACAGACTGGAAGGTCAATTAGAGATCGGTATATTGAAGGTCGTCGGAGCACCAGGTCAATGTTCTCCATAGGTAAGAAGGCTCTCCATCAGGTCGAGCTATGACCCTAGGATGGCCTGGTGGAAACTCAACATGGAAGTATACAGGTCGATGGATCAACCTCTAGGATAGAGTGCATGCATGAGCACAACGAAAAGACAATCTAGCTCTAGGGTAGTTGAGCTGGTCGTATGATTAGACCGTCTAATAAAACAAACTAATGAATAAAAAGAAATTGTAATAATAAGATAAGAACCACATGAGGATAGACTGAGGAAGTATGTTGAAGAGGTTCAAGGTGTGATAAAGAAATTTAGCTTGTCTGAGCTTATACAATTGCCTTGAGGTGAAAATGATCAAGTTGATTTGTTATCTAAGATAGCCTAGGTTGATTGTAAGAGTAAAAGTGTGACATTGTTGCATATGGACAAAAGTGCAGTTGAAGTAGCATAAATTAATGAGGCTGGTGACTAGAGAGCTCCAATACTAAAAGAACCCAAAGAAGGAAACATTAAACAGATTAAGAGGTTTTTAGAGCAAGGTGGTCTGCTATATAAGAGGTCATACACTTGACCTCACTAGAGATGTGTTACTGAGGAATAAGATCGATACAAATTGAAGGAGGTGCACGAAGGATGCTTGAGTGATCACAACAAAGCCATGTCTCTGATTGCCATGGCCTTAAGGATAAGATATTTATGGGCGGCTATGCGAGCTGATGCAGTGAGGATAATCGAAGAATGTATTCAATTACTACTTCATACACAATCAACAAAACAAGAATTGCAAGCAAGATCATACAATACCTATTAAAACCCGAAATATCTCAATTAAAATGAGAAAATAGACAAAGAAAATTAGACAAATGAAATAAATATCTAATAGAGGATTTTAAAATATAACTTACTATTAAAAAAAATAAATCGTCTTTATGAAAGTAGCTCTTTATTGTTGAATAGTTTTTTTTTTTTCATTCTAAATTCATTATTTTAGAGATCAGAGAAAGGTCATCGTCGTAGGCCCGTAGCTAATTTATTTGATTAGAGTTTGTTGTATATTATTAGAGTGGTGTTAGAAACTTTTGGACTTAATAGATAGTGAATTATTTTGATGGCTTAGTAAGTTGGTTTATTAGACTGAGCTAAAAATATAATATATTTTTTTTTTCAAACTAATAGTTGTTAAAGAAAAAATAACAGGCACCCGAGGCCAAAGGTAGATTCTCCAAGTTACCCGGATCTCTTCGATCGAACTAACTTTTTTGGTTGGTCAACCGAGCTATTGTAGATGCTATATCAGGCTCGACTAAATCCCCCCATCCCCCCCTCTCCACCCCATGCGCTAGGTCCTAACCCTCGCCTAAAGAGCGTCTAATGTCTTTTACAACATTGTTTCACACTAAGTTTGACTAAAAGATTGTGAGCAAATGTAATTTTCAGTAAACACGTCAAGCTTATGAATTTCATTTCGGAATCCCGTGATTTGTGGTGGCGCTTTGCGAAAATCATCGCCGTGTGAGATTTACGATGAGACTAATGGATTGTACTTTTATGGGCCCCTTTGGTCAGGTAAAACATCTTCTTTATTTTTACTATTAGAGACAAATATTTGGGTTCTTTGCATATCTCGCGCCGTTTATATGGGGATATGATTGCAGTTGGTAATAGGAGCCATGCCAATGGCGTCTTGGAGCATGTTATAATATTGGTGGCAATAATATATGATCAATATATTTATTTGTTAGTACTTTTTTATATATTTCTTTTTTAAATATTTCAAAATTTTAGATTAATATGCTACAAGAGTATGCGGCACTTTCAAAAAAAAAAAAAAAAAATACTGTAATGGATATTTAAAGGCAATTCTAATTAATTTTCCGATGCTATTGCCTATTAGTACTTGGTTCGAGTATTTACAATGCATAAGATAAGACGATGCTATTAGTACTGGTCTGTGCGATGTACCGAAAGCATATATAAAGAAAATGAATCACGATTTATCATATGATATTAAAAGTTATATTACTTTATCCTCTTGTTCATATAAATATAAATGAAATAAATATATAAATATTCATATATTATTGATCATG